TGTGGGTGTGTGGATTTGGGTGTCGGTGTGGAGTGTGGGTGTGTGGATTTGGGTGTCGATGTGGAGTGTGGGTGTGGGAGTGTTGGTGTCCGGTATGGGTGTGGAGTGCGCGCGTGCGTGTGGGTATCTTCCGTATGTTCATCTACACCCACACCCACACCCACACCCACATCCGCCCACACCTACCCCACATCCACACCCGCATACTGCACGGCTAGCTTCTTCTTTAACCACTGAATTCAGATCGTTTACTTTTCATCCAATAACAGGCATACAGACACGAGATATTATGTATATACATCGAAGCCTTACGGCCTCATACTCTTCTATCGCAGATATTTTATAGTCCATGTAGCCTTATCCCTTTATTGTTCGACATCCTTCAGGGCCTAAGGGTACCCCCATATAATAGCCCTTGAGAACCTATGGGTACCTCCATAGGATAGTCCTTGAGGACCTATGAGTACCTCCATATAATAGCCATTCGCATCTTCCGCTTATAGCCTTTTATGACCTTTGACCTGTGACCCTTGACCGGGTACAGACACCCATTGAATATTATATATAGAGATAGTAAAGTCTGTTGATTTCTACCACTAGAAATCAGTTTGTTTCCCCTTGGTGTTTTGTGTCTAGAATTTCGGTACGTTCGTGGGGGCTGAGCTCTCTCTAGCTTTTTCTTCTAGCTACGTCACTATGCAAAGTGGCTGATAGAAAAAAAAACATTTTAGAACATAGCTCTTGATCCGATACCCTGCGAAAAAAGTACGGGTACTTCATCTGACAGCAAATAACCAAATCCAGATTCCTTTATGCCATAAACTTTGATCAAACTGTGAATGAAGTATCGCTGACCCTTAAGCATTTCCGCATTTTTTAATGACAGCCCCTTAGGATGTTTCTGTAGTCTGATCTACTACTCTTATTAGCTAGCAACATCTACCGTATCCTTCCTTGCTATCATGCTAGGGTTTCCACCCATCCGATCGCTTTCGGAGATAGCATTAACATATTCACCCAAAGTAATCGCGTAACAACCAGCAGACAGTCGACACCGATGGTTCCGTACGAACAAATATCCCGTCATCAACAACATACCAATACTTGTAATATTATCGTACCCGATGCACCGATAACTACAGGACCATACACCTAAAAGAAGACTCTTGCCGAAGCACTTCGCTATCCAAGTATACTTCCGCATGGCGATCTGTCAGAATCCAAGGGTACATCATAGAGCGACACATCAATACCCAGGAGTACGTGGCTAAAGCAGCACTTAAGGATCATAGGGCATCTCCATCTCGTACGACTTTAGAAACGAAAGCCACCCATTAATATTAGGAATTGAGATTCCAATGATACCCCCAAATCGTAGGATTTTAAGATCCAAAGATATCCCCAATCGTAGGACTTGAGGGCCCTAGGCTACTGGCTTGATGATAGTAGACACCAGTGGCGTAGCCAGGAATTTTTGAATCATGGGCAATTCACCAGCTAAACTGTTTTGAGATATGGACAGCTGAGGAAAATCCTGATGATTTGAAAAATATCTGTGGGGAATAACTGTTCAAGCACTTCATAGCTCAATAAATTCGTGGGCAATAATTTTTGAAGCTATGAGCAATCGCCCAATGGCCCTTCCCCTGGCTACGGCACTGGTAGACGCTCACTTCACCGCTCAGAGACTGTCACCGTTCTCCGGTAACGGTCTGGGAACGGTATCTTCATACCCCTAGCTCTAAGACTATGACAAACTACCGTAAAAAGATGAGCCAAATCATCGATTTCGAAAGTTCAATTTCCATTCATTTCTATGATGTGGATAATCGCTGAAGCAATTCTTTGGATGCATGAGGGATCATGAAATAGATCTTAACCTTACTTAAGTTTCTTCTTAAAATACAGTATTTCTGGAGATAGTTCTCTTTTAGAAATTTTGCAGATTCTCAAAATTCGGATCAAGTACTCTACTATTTGATATTGGTTTTTATGAGGCCCGCACCTCTTTTGCTTTTGCATGACATCCGATTCTTCTTACTAGCTCACTGACAATGACTGCAGCAAAAACTGACCCCGAACTCGATCTTAGAGATCGAACCCAAACCCAAACCCGAACTCGAACTCTCAGACCGAACCCGAATGTTCGGGTTTGGTGCACGCCTAGTTAGGCAGAACCTACTAGTTTAGTTCTCTATATCTGTATATAAAATTCAAATTATGGCTTATAGTTACAGAAAAAAGTCAATAACACAATGTAATGAAAATTGATACACATATATATTGTGTATATATAGGGTTGGTAAGAAATTTTTGTCGTTTTTTTTTGAAAATTTTCTTTTTATTTTTTAATATCAAGAATACAACTAGCTTTCAGCAATGTATGCTCCATTACTATCTATGACTTGTCACCAACACTCTGGTAGAGAAAGGATCTTGCGTTCGTAGAAGTCCTGCGACTTTTGATCTAAGAAGTTCAGAGGGTCCATTCCAGGTCGTTTTCGTCGTCGAACTTTTTCTCCTTCAAATGATTAGAAAGAGAACGGAACAAAAGGTAGTCCGTAGGAGCCAAGCCTGGAGAATAAGCTTGATGTGGAACCGTAACCCATCCGAGCTCCAATAATTTTTCACGCGTTGATTTAGCAATATGAGGTTTGGCATTGTCATGCAAAAAATACATTCTATCCTGCTTCTCCTTGAGCTTTTCGGCAACTCGGCCTAATTGCAGGCAATAGAGATCAGGAGTGATAGTGCAATTAGTTGGAAGAAGTTCCCAATGAATAATCCCTCTTACTCCCCACCAAGCGCTCAGCATAATCTTCTTTTGGTTAAGGTCATCTTTGGGTATTGCTACATCTTTTGTCCAGCTCCCAGCCACTGCCGCTTGCGCGTGTGGTTAACATACAACCCCAGTTTTCATCGCTCGTAATAAGATTGTAAGGTTATTGGTAGTTGCGATGAGACATCAGTTATTCCATAGCAGGATCAACTCTGTGTTGCAGCTGATGTGGTGACAAATCATCTGGCATCCAAACTCCATATTTCCACGTTTTGCCTAATTCTTGCAGATATGTCTCCACTGTAATATAAGAGCACTCAAGATGCTCTGCTAAACACTGTGTAATGAATCGAGGATCTTCTTCGATAAGCTCCTTTAAGAGACCTATATCCACCTCTAGCGGTCTTCCAGTGTGAGATAAATCATCGAGTTCGAAGTTACCGTTCTGGAACTGATTGAACCAACATTGCGCAGTACGAACAGGGAGCGCATTCTTGCTCATCGTATGGCATATGTTGCTTGTTGGTTCTGTTGCTTTGTGACGCAGAAGGAATTCATGAAGCAGAAGTACTCGGGGCTCTCTATGAGATATCTTCGCTTCTAATTCGACATCAGCATGTATATCCATAGTTTCGTTGTTATTGGAAAGATATTTACACTCCCTTTATATACCTTTAGTAAAGAAACTTCTAGAACTTTCTTGACTGTTCTAGGAAGTTACGAAAAAAATGACAAAAATTTCTTAGCAACCCAATGGATCAAAAGATGATACATTGTGCCCTTAAATCAACTATTATGCCTAGACATGTGCGAGGCCGGGACCAGAACCCAAAAATACTTTAGTCCCGGTCATGTCTGTCATTAACAAGGAACATCGGCGGAAATACGAGTGAGAAGTGCTCCAGATCTAAAACCGGCAGATTCTGCAACAACTTCCCTGACTATGGACAAATAACAGAAAAAGTAAGGTTATTAAGACTGGATGTAGAATAAATACCAAGTTTAACACATTCGACACGATTCGGTTTTATTAAAGAGTAGCTCTACAAATTCATTTTCGTGTGCATTCATCTTTCGATAAATGCACTGCTTGGTCTTTTCATTCTATGCTAATCTGTCGTTTTTTCTTT